TGTCTGAGATTTTGCTGCCTGTGGATTCCTCTAATATTTTTATGGTTTCCTGTCTTACGTTTAAGTCCTTTATTCATTTTGAGTTTATTTTTGTGTATGGTGTAAGTCGGTGGTCTAGTTTCATTTTTTTGCATGTATCTGTCCAATTTTCCCAACACCATTTATTGAAGAGACTGTCTTGACTCCATTGTATGTACTTGCCTCCTTTGTCAAATATTAATTGAGCATAATAGTTTGGGTAGATTTCTGGGTTCTCTATTCTATTCCATTGGTCTATATGTCTGTTCTTGTGCCAGTACCAGGCAGTTTTGAGAATAGTGGTTTTGTAATACAGCTTGATATCTGATGTTGAGATCCCTCATACATTGTTGTTCTTTCTCAGGATTGCTGCAGCTATTCAGGGTTTTTTTTTATCCAAATGAATTTTTGGAGAGTTCATTCTAGGTCTGTGAAATATGCCTTGGTATTTTAATGGGGAATGCATTGAATCTATAGATTGCTTTGGGCAGTATGGACATTTTAATGATGTTGATTCTACCAATTCATGAACATGGTATGTTCTTCCATATGATTATGTCTTCCTCTACCTCTTTTTTTCAGTGTCCTGTAGTTTTCCGAGTATAGGTCTTTTACCTCCTTAGTTAAGTTTATTCCTAGGTATCTGACATTTTTCGGTGTGATGGTAAATGGGATTGTTTTTTTAGTCTCTCTTTCAGTAAGTTCCCTATTGGTATATAAAAATGTCATTGATTTCTTGGCGTTAATTTTGCATCCTGCTACATTGCCAAATTCATTTATTAAGTCTAATAATTTTTTGATGGAGTCTTTTGGGTTTTCTATGTACAGTATCATGTCATCTGCGAATGACAGTTTTACGTCTTCTTTTCCAATTTGGATGCCTTTTATTTCTTCTTGTCTAATTTCTATGGCTATCACTTCCAGAACTACTAACATAGTTCTTTAATCAAAATTCTTTTAATAAAAATCCTATCCTTCCTACAGCAACCAGCACAAACATTGTTTTTCAGCCTCAGTGATATCTTTCCAAAATTAGAGTTTGACCCAATTATCAATGATCAATAAAATTAGCAGAGGGGATAATGTGTTTATGTCCAGAGCTTTCTCCATGAGAAACTCTTATCCATTTCCTGCATGTGTGTTGGTGAGAGGCTGTAGACTTGGCCATTAAAGAACAAAGATTGGGCTGCCTGTGCTTGGAGTTTGGTTCTAGCTCTTATTATCCTTGTTGTAGACTATGGCAAATTACTTAGTTTGTCTAGTAATAACTGTTATTTTACCCAAATAGCTTAAATCATGCTTGATGTATGCCAGGCATTCTCTAAGTGCTTTACACATATTAATCCTCATACCACTCCAAATTGTCCTCATTTTACATATGAAGAAATGAGGCTCAGAAAGGTGAAGTAATTTGGACAAGCCAGGAAGTAGGGAGACAGGCATAATAGAAATTTTTAAATAAATGTTTCTTTGCTCATTCTTCTTTTTCACTCTCCATCTCTTCTTCCTTCCCTCTCCTTGCCTTTCTCTTCCCTTTTGACCATTTCCATTTCCTCCTCTCTCCTTCCCTCCCCTTCTTCCTATCTTCTTTCCCATTCTCCCTCGACCCTTTTTCCTTTCTCCTTTTTCCTGCCACTCCCTCTTCTCTTTCTTTAATCCCCTCATTACTTCCCACCCTTCTCCTCCTCTACCCCATTCATCTATTCCATTATTATCAACATGTGTGTGCTTGGTGCTCTGGGGAACACCAAGATCAGTCAGAGATCCTGCTACAAAGAACTTACAGTAGTAGAAGCTAAAATATATTTATAGAAGTTGCTTAGAATGTGATGGAAAGTTATGGATTTAGGGCTTTATAAGTTATACAGGATTGCTTTTCTCTGTGGGAGCAAGGAAGGTTCTGTGGAGGGATATCCATCCTTCCACGGAGTCTTAGGAAATGACTTATGAAAGAGTAGTTGTAGTCTAACACATTATGTTTAGGCATATTTTATAACTATCAACCTCTTCTTGATTATTACAGGTAATGGAGCTTAACTCTCATTAACTAATGGCAGCCCTTTTTGGACTCTTATTTTGTCAAGTGTGTGTGGCAAGTGCTGTAAAAGTTAAATGTAAATATAAAGGAGCCCATGCCACTTTGGAGTGTTTGGAAAACAAGTCAGTGCGCGTAGATTGAGGATGGCAGAAGGAGGCATACTGATCTGATCTGTGTCAACAGGAGACAGAAATGCAATCAGTAGTTACACAGTCCATATACCCTTAGTCAGTTGCTATGTGAAGTCAGTTCTCAAAGAGTTCTGAAAAATAATCTTCCCGTGTGAACTGCCTTTTTTGTCATAATGTAGTTCCTCTGCATCTGTGAAGTGTCATCCCCAATACTTACTTCTTCAGAACGCCAGGTACCATGGCACCAGCTGCCCTCCAGGAAATATGAGATGGCTATCAAGTGCGGTGTCTGAAAGTACATTTTAGAAAGTATCAAAAACTAGTATTTTATATGATGAAAAGGTATTAATAATTTTAGTCTTGTATACTAGGAGTATTTTGGGCATGAGTCTTCTTAGAATTCAGCATTCTGGTTCATTTGTTATATTAGATAAAATTATATTAAAAGTTAGCCAAAGTTAGTTATCTTTTATCTAATTTTCCTGTTAATGTTTTATATGAAAAGATAAGTGAATTTTCATGATTGCCTTCTTTTGTTATTCATAAGTATACATTAAAAAGGGATCTCATTCTCTTTTAAATGACATATCATAAGAGGACATTTAGCTGCCTGAATATGTCAGTTTTTATTTTTCATTTTTATTGTCAAAATCAATATCATATTTGGAAACTGCCAAATGGATTCTAGATATCTGAGGTACTAAAGTTTGTAGAGCCATATAAATCAGTCTTATTAGGAAGTAGTATAATTCAGCTGCATAGAACCAGAGTCCTAAGTTTAAATGTCTGCCTCACATGAAGAAGTAAATTGGGTACTGGCCATGCAGATATTTTGAGAAGAAAAGTTGATGAGAAATTGTTGAAATCAGGCAAAGTGATTTAAAAGCCTAGGTACTTTACTTCCCAATTCTGTCTTATTCTGAAATGAACTGTTGTCATTTGTGCATGGTTGACATTCAGCAAATAGTTCTGGAATCAGCTAATATAAAATTTTCATCAATTACTAAAAATTGAAAAAAGCAATCATTATTGGTTAACAAAAATCAAACAAACGAAGCAGCTTATGCAGCACAGATCTGTGAAGTAGAACTTCCTCTTACCATTTAGTCCTAGGAAGACACAGTTCAAGGAAGAGTTGGTCCAACACAAGTAGTTAGATTAGGTCCAGTGGTCGGCAAACTCATTAGTCAACAGAGCCAAATATCAACAGTACAACGATTGAAATTTCTTTTGAGAGCCAAATTTTTTAAACTTAAACTATATAGGTAGGTACATTGTTATTAACTTAATTAGGGTACTCCTAAGGCTTAGGAAGAGCCACACTCAAGGGGCCAAAGAGCCGCATGTGGCTCGAGAGCCGCAGTTTGCCGACCACGGGTTAGACCAGCAATTTTCAACCTTTTCAATCTCATAAACTAATTACTGGCACATCAAAAAATATTATATTTTTGCCGATCTGACAAAAAAATAGGTAAAATTTTTACTCATTCACACTGAAGGGTCAGCTATTGTGTTGGCTGTTATTTTTTTATTTGACAGTCTAAGGAAACAGGGGTCGGTGCCCTCTAATAGTCGGGTATTGCATGTTCTAAACATTCTGAGGGCACAGGTTGAAAAATCTCTGGTTTAGACCTAAGAAGTAATATTTCCAATTGAGTTAAGAAGTTAAAAATTATGCAAAAGGACAATATTAGTATTGAGTTTTTCATATTCATCATCAGTAAAAAATTTCTCTAGGAGCCGGATAGTCTCCTATATCTTGACTTTTATGACCTGGAGATGTCCCCTAGTTTTGGGGTTTTATCTGTTTTGACATGTAATACACAGGGAGATAAAGTACCTGTCTCCATTATGTAACAGTTTGGCCCTCTTGAGAATACATGTTGAAGTTTTATTTTTCTTTTGAATCAGAACAATTAACTAGATAAATGGTTACAGATCTAATTCTTACGATAGGTGTAGAATAGAATATTTCTGGAGGACTTGCAAGCAAACATTCCCTTCTTTACATCATATACCTTCTTGAGGCTCTTGAGGCTAAGGCTTTTTGCAGAGCATTAAGAAATCCAGAGAAGTTTTATTTTTCCACAGTTAGGTGTTCCAAGTGCAAAGAAATTCTACCACATGTTATGTAAAAAAAATAAATCAAGCATGGCTTATGTAGACAGAGTAAGGTAAGATCTCTGAAATGAGTTCTGAAAAAATTTAAATGGTAGAAAAGAGAAATGAGACAATTGTAATAGAATTAGAACATCCACTTTTGGGAATCCTCGCCCTGTATTTAGCAACGGTGACCTTTGTAGTATTTCAAACCTATCTAGAAGATTCCTGTTTTTAGAAATACATCAATAGGTTACATGGAAAATGTCTTTGAACTGACTCCTGCTCTGCAAAGAATGCCTCCTCCTCCGCCTCCTCCTCATGTACTCTGTTCGAATCTGTTGAGAGTTCTGAGCCTCTGTGAGGGTACAATACTATAAAGGTTTGAATATATGTAAAAGGTAATATACAAAGATTGAGTCTTTGTTTTAGGGTTGTTGACCTGGACGTTTTTTAAAGTAATAATCTTCTTTAATCTTTATTTAGTGAAGCATGATAAATACTGACTGATAGTGTGTTTAAGTTGATCAATTACTTGGTTATGTGGAGTACCCCAGTCATACTTTATTGTAACCAAGAGTGAAATTTGACATCTTTGACATCCCATTCACTGTAAAAATAGACTCCTTTTTTCTTTTGGTCGTTATAATCATAGTTTTAAAGATTAACAAGTAAGTAGTCTTAATTAGTTGACTCAGAACTCTTTCTTTCAGCTTTTTGCCTGAATTCATCAGTGGAGACTTTGATTCTATTAGGCCTGAAGTTAGAGAATACTACACTGTTAAGGTAAGACATAATTCTATATTTAAAATATTTCTCATATGATTGCTTTTCCTATGTTTTTCCTGGTTTCCTTTGGGTATATATAGGGATTGAGAAACTAATTGGTTTATTTTTTTAAATTTATATCAATTATGATATACATTCAAATGGAAATTTAGAGAATGGCAAATAGAAATACAAGTTTAGAAATTCAGTCACCACCAGATAAGCATTAATGCTTAGTACTTTAAGCACATATTTTTTAAAAACATTTATAGTTTATGGGCTATTTTAATAATATACTGTTATTGCCTACATCCTCATTAGTTGCTATCTATTTTTCACAAATCACTTTTATTTCATTTAATGAACGAACTGTATTTTACTTAACCAATTCCCAATTGATTTACATTTGTATCCATTTTTTACCTTGTAAACTAATAAAAATATCTTTGTAAATGAGTTTTTATAAAAATGCATAATTATAGAGCCACAGTTTTTTCCTTCAATATTTAGTTTTTAAAAAATATTATTACCCTGTTCTGAATAAACCTGTTTATTATATTTAGTTTATTGAAAATATTTTAGTTTTTTGAAACTATTGTTAGCCTATTCTAAAGAAAATTATTCATTACAACTTGAAATTAACAATAACATACAGCTTAAAGTTTTCATATTGTTACTGCTATTGTGAAAGTCTTCTAGTGATTCTTGCTGGCAAAGAAGAACATGCAAATGATCTAATTGAGAATGATGGAAGGCACATAGGAGTATTATAGCGATGAATTATTCAAGCTTTCACTGGCTTTAGAGGACAATGCAGAGTTTTAAAAATAAAAATTATAGTGTCAGCAATTCTAGCCACAATACCGTCATCTATGTTATTCTTAACTAATTAGAAAATTACACATATTTTTAAAAGAAACAGCAGTTACTGAAATATTAAAACTTTAAATTCTTTATAAGGCTTGGGGATGGGTGAGATAAAATAAAAAAGAAGAAAAAGGAGGCCGTTTGAAGGAAGGAAGGGAGGGAGAAAGGAAGGAAGGACGGGAAGAAGGTGGGAGGGAGGGTAGAAGGAAAGAGAAGAAAAAGAAGGAAAATATGATTCAGGGTGAGGAAGCAAAGGTACCAGTTTTATAAAGTAGAATAGGCTGTTCTGATAGAAATCCCGGGGCTGGCAGTGAACGTAGCTCAATGCACATCCTATCTGCCCACCAGCTGATCAGACTTTCCCATCAGCAAAGGGAGACTGTTCCCAAGTCAGTGTTTGATATTCATGCTCAATTACTTTAACATTGGCATGTTTCTATTCATTCCCCACAGTCTCACTTCTCATTAACTCCATACCTCAACCTCACTGAGATGGAAAGCCCTCTCAGCCTTGCTTACAATGCAGAGTTTTATAAATTCATAGTTATTAATCGTATTTTCGGGAGGGGAAGAAACAGCGGGAAAGGCAGGAACAAGCACTCAGAAACAAGAGGAAGATCTGGCCAGATGTGACTTTTCTCCTCCTCTCTTAAATGCTGCTGGCTGCCAACACTGGAAGTGCTGATTTCATCAGTCCATCCCAGATGAGGAAATAACAAAAAATAAGGGGGAACCAGCTTTTCCATTTCCCAATACAGTAAAATGGGGTCAGGGATAAAAGAAAATTTTGAGTTAATACCTTTTGATGAATTTCTCTTATATTTTTTGCTTTATTTTTTTAACCTCAATGTTAATTTTTATCTGTTGAGGTTTAATTTGGAAAGTAAGGTTAGCTGCATCTTCTAATTACTACATTGCATAGTTATGAGATGATGTAGTACAATCAAGTTTTCATGTATTGATGAGAACAACTGCTTTGAACTTTTTGGATCTCTCCCGGAAAGGCACTGATGTCTTTGATAGAGCTGATGTGCCCCATATAGGTCAGGGTGAATGTTTAGCTACGGTTTTAATAATGATAATGACAACAAGTTAATGCAGCATTACACACAATTCGTATAAGCCATTATCTCCGATTTAAACCATCTTTAAGCTGCTGTGTTACAAATTAAAGGAGGTTATCTTCACTTTCAAAGGCACTTTTCTTTCTTCCATCTGGTCTGGGTTTCAATGAAGCTGAAACTGGGGCTCTGATAAAGTAAAATAAAAAAGAATTTGAAAATGTTAAATGTTTGTTAAAGCCATAAAATTATAAAGTTGATTTTGTAGTCAACATTTATTCATACAACATTTTCCCTCAGTAGATATGTCCTTGACTTACAGAAAAAAACAACTTAGGTTTATATGACTATACAAAATGTTAAATGTGTTTGCCTGCTTAATTTCTGAGAATACTAAAATATAAAGTATTTGATTTATTTTTTAAATTCTCATCTGAAGATATTTTTCCATTGATTTTTAGAGAGAGTAGAAGAGAGAGGGAAATACAGAGAGAAATATCAATGTGACAGAAATACTTCCATTGGTTGCCTCATGCATGTTCCAGGACCAGAGCCGGGAAGGAACCTGCAATTGAGATACATGCCCTTGACAGGAATCGAACCAGGGACCCTTTGATCCACAGTCCGATGCTCTACCCATTTAGGCACACTGGGTAGGGCTGATTTGTCAGCTTTTAAACAGAATATTTTATACCTCAGATCTTGCAGTCTGTGGTACAGGGGACCCTCGAACAGTGCAGGGGTCATGGCACTGACACTGCACAGTCAAAAAATCTGTCTTATCACTTCTGACTGCCCCAAAACTTAACTGCTAATAGCCTACTATTGACCCGAAACCTTACCAATAACATAGTCATTAACTCATATTTTTTATGTTGTATCATTTTAGACTGTATTCTTACAATAAAGTAATCTAGAGAAAAGAAAATGTTAATTAAAACATAAGGAAGAGAAAATACATTTGCATTACTGTATTATTGATACTATATGTCTAGATCTTCTGTTTGCAAGATGAACCATCTCGTCTGTCTGTCAGTACCTATATCAATATTGTCTTATATGATACACAACACTGTAGATATTATATGTATTACACTAGACATCAAAAAGGGAAAGATAATGTGAAAAAGAAATTTATATTTATTGACAGGTATGATAATTCACACATTGATAACAAAGAAGCAGCAATACGATTGCCTTATAGAAGCCTAGTATAATTGATGGAACAGTTGGTAGCTAGGAGATTATTATAGTATTAAATTATGTGCTATAGTTAATATTATGCAGTTGTGATTTAATACTACATCTTTATGTTTGTTTACATTCCTTTTGACTGCAAATAGCTCCATGTACAGTTTTGATAAATTTTAACTTTTTATAATAGACTTGTATATTTTGTGGTAATAAATGATAAAATAGACTGATATCTACATATATTTTATGCACTCGTGGCATACCTAACTTTTTCTTAAATTTTCTGTATTTTATGGCTACATAATTTGCTATTTTTTTCAAATTATTGCAGATCTCAATATATTTATTGAAAAAAAATCCACATATAAGTGGAGCCCTGCAATTCAGATCTATCTACATTGTTCAAGGGTCAATGGTAGAGTTATCTATTGTTGTGTAACATTTTATCCTAAAACTAGAGGCCTGGTGCACAAGTTGGGTTCCTAGGCCTGGCTGGCGATCAAGGCCGATTGGGGCCTTTATAACTGAGATCTTAGGCCAGGGGTGGGCAAACTTTTTGACTCGAGGGCCACAATGGGTTCTTAAACTGGACCGGAGGGCTGGAACAAAAGCATGGATGGAGTGTTTGTGTGAACTAATATGAATTCAGAGTAAACATCATTACATAAAAGGGTACAGTCTTTTTTTTTTTTTTTAGTTTTATTCATTTCAAACGGGCCAGATCCGGCCCTCGGGCCGTAGTTTGCCCACGGCTGTCTTAGGCCCACATCATGTTTCCATATTCTCGAACCACTGTCATGTACCATACTGTGTTCGTCCAGATTTGGCAGGCTTAACAAAGATAAAATCAGAACTTAGAACTAGAGTCCTACTCCTGATTTATGACTAGGGTTATTTTCACCCCTGTCTAGAACATGGCCTTGTGGAATGCCAAAGTACTCCCTTATAGCACAAAGGAAGATATTTCTCATATTTCCCAGGCCCACCTATACCCTGGCTAAATTTCCTGTTTTTTTTTTCTCTTTCTGATATTTTATTGATTTTTTACAGAGAGGAAGGGAGAGAGATAGAGAGTTAGAAAGATCGATGAGAGAGAAACATCGATCAGCTGCCTCCTGCACATCCCCCACTGGGGATGTGCCCGCAACCCAGGTACATGCCCTTGACCGGAATCGAACCTGGGACCTTTCAGTCCGCAGGCCGACGCTCTATCCACTGAGCCAAACCGGTTCCGGCTTTTTTCTTTCTTTCTTTTTTTTTTTTTTTTATATATTTTATTGATTTTTTACAGAGAGGAAGGGAGAGAGATAGAGAGTTAGAAAGATCGATGAGAGAGAAACATCGATCAGCACCCTGGCTAATTTTCTACTACCTGATCACCTTGGTTCTTCAATGTTCTATCGTGGCTCAATCCCCTGTCCTGTAAATAGCTTTCATGTCATTGCTCTGGCCCAATATTGCACCCCAGATTGGGGGTGGAAGGGAGTGACAAGATGGCAATGGGAACGTAGAGAGTTTGGTTGTCACACTGACTTATCCCACTAATGGTGATACTGACACTCATTCCCAAGGATGATAAATACCTTGTGCAAGGTATTTGCAAGTCTTGCCCAAAGGCCCAATGCAATCTGTTGACAAGCAGTAATAGCACTGAGTCCCAGTTTAAAAATAAAATTTTATAGAAAACATGAATATTGATTCAAAAGCATGGCCATATCCAAATTTTTGAAGACTGTTCTTGATAGGTAAGGGTAGTATGTCTAACTTCTTTAACCCGTGCTCCTCTGGATAAGTATAAGATGCTATAAATGTTACCTACAGTCACAGAAAATTGCTCACCTTTTATATCTCATTATGGCTGACATTTTAGGAGACTCAGGATCTGAATTTGAATAT